GCGCTCCCTCCATCCCTGCCCGCGCCCTCCTTCCCTCGCTGTCCGCGCCGCTGCCCCCCGTCCCCCCGGGCTCCATCCCGTCGCCGCGGCCGGCAGAGGCGCCGCCGCCCCGCTGGCGCTGGCAGGCGCTGTTTGCTCTCCCCCTCAAAGGAGGAGCAGGGCGCCCAGGGGGGAAGCCGCCGCCGTCCCGCTCCTCCAGGCAGCGCGGCAGGAGCAGCGCGCAGGACAAGGCGAGCCGAGGCCGCGCGGGAGGGAGCTGAGCGCTCCCGGCCCGCTCCGCCGAGCCGGGAAGCCCAGAGCCCTCCGGGAACGGGCAGTACCGGGTGGGACACGGGAGCAGCGCCTGCTCCCGGCCTTACCGGGTCCGGCCTTACCGGGTCCGGCCTAAGGGCAGATACGTGAGAAGGGGTGGCCAGGCAGGGGGGCGCGTTCAGCACGGGTGGGGCTGCAGGAAGGGAAATCCGGGCACCGACATGAAGGCTTCCCCCCCTGCCCTGTCCTTCCCCTCCGCCACCCCGGCCCTTCCCGGCGGCTTTGCCACCCGCCCCGTTTCCCCATTGAGCTGCATTTAAAACGGTTTCAGTTATTTAAAGGGGTTTAAAACGGTTTCAGTTCTTTGAAGAGGCGGCACACGGCAGTGCTCAGCCCCAGTGCCAAGAGGGGCTGACGTGACTGGCGCAGAGGTGACCACCAGCGGCAGCAGAAGGGGAACCAGCCTGCAACAGCAAAACCATTTTTTTTCCCTTTAATTTCTTTTGGTGGAAAAAGGGCAGCAAGCGGTGGTGCCCCAGGATGGCACTGGGGTTTGCCGTGGGGCCAGGGCCAGAGGAGATTTTTGCCTCAAGGCCGTTTCCTTAGGAGTTGCTGATGGAAACTCTCTGTTTAATGGGATCCAAGCCCCCCTAAAGCCTTGGGAGCTTTGCAGGCTCTTTGTGCAGCCATACAAAAGGCTTTTAAGCTCTGGCTATGGAATSACTTGAAAATGTACACTAATTTCCTTCTCAAACACATCGTGCTCCTTCATCTTCCCCGGGCTTAGAAATCAGGAAATTGCGTGTCAGAACTGGATGACTTGCCTTCTTCTTGCTTGATTCTTCTGAACCATTTCCATAGAAACTTTGGCTTCATAAAACGGGATGGGTTCATCCAGCTGGGGCCTGAAACAGAGCAGGGCGTGAGGGGCGCCGCGGGGCGCGCTCGGAGCACCGCAAACAGCCCGGGAGAGTCCGGGCTCGCRCCGTGCAAACCTGACTCCCGACACAGCTTCGCTTGCATCCGCAGAGGAAAGGGAGAGCCCTACAGCCAGGGGGAGGCAGAAGTTGAAAGATATTGCTCTTGGGGGGGTAAAAAAGGGCAGGGAAGGCTTTTGCTGAGCAGGAATATTGCTATGGTGGCTGGAGAAGAAGCACCTTCCATGAAGGGGAATCCTCCATTTCCCTTCACTGTGGCTGCCTTCATTATCTAGGGAAGCAGCCGCTGTTCTTGTTCACAGAGGGGTATTAGGCAGCCCTATCTCTTGGTACAGCCACGCAGCTGCTCGTTCCCCTGGGTTAAGTAAAGCACGTGCTGCCTGTTAAATGTTGAGACTTAGTACGTGGCCACACAGCAAACTGGAGTTTTACTGAAATCGGGTGTTCTAACCAGATCTTTTCATGCCCAGATTGCTGTCACAGAAACACACCGTAAAGCATTTCACATAAAGGACCCAAGACATCCTTTGTGCAGCATCCCAACATCAACACCTCTGCAGTGCAGCACTAGCAAAGGCTCTTTGCTACAACTGAATGATAATGATAATAATAATAATAATACCTGAAAATGTTACTTGATAGTTTCTCCATAATATCTTCTAAGATGCGTATCTAGAAGAACTGTCAAGGTATCAACGTACATATGGACAACTGATCGCTCTACAGTCAGATCTTTGGGCACGAGACCTGTACTGATACAAAACTAGCAGGGTTAAGGTTCACCTTCGTTTTTGCCCTAATTCCAATCTCTATCGTCAGATTTACAAACTGGTTTGGAGAACAGAAACATTCCTTCCTGGAATAATACTCCAAAGTGAAAAACAGACTATTAAAAAAAAAGGCATACAAAAGCTTAAAGTTGACAAATGCAACAAATCCAAGTAGAACTGTAACTAATCCAAAGGCTAATTACATTTTTCCCAGAGAAGAGAGATGACAGATTTTGGTATAAGTTAACTATCCCTGTTATCCATGCAGGTAGGAGGTAAAAAATCAAAATAAGGCTGGGAAAAGAACAGCATTCCTAAGTTCTTGGAGCAGTGATGCAGCACCTTTTAAAATACATCTTTGTGTTGATTTGCTCATTTCGTGCAGCGTTCACATCAGGGCTGTATAAAAGGCTTTACTTAGTGGCTTGGCTACATGAAACTCTGAAAAATAATACACCTCCATTCATTGCAGGAGCAATTTCATTAACACTTGAAAGCCAAGCCATTCTCAGTGATCACCCTGGGAGGTTTTTTTTTCCTAAATGTTAATAGGGTCAGGTGAAGTATTTCACAGGAGGCATCAAAAAAAAGATATTTTCTTTTACGCTGTACGATAAAATGTCATTGCTGGGATCATAAAGACACTATAAGAAGCGACAGAAGAAATCTATTCAGTCAGTTCACTTTCTATGGGAACAGCTACYCAATACTCCAAACAACCCCCCGATCCCCAGGCATAAAGGTGTCTGTGCTATCCCGTATCCCGCAGCCWCCTCTCCAGCACACCCGGCATTCCTTCCGTGGTGCCCTCTGCCTCTGGAGCAGGGTGGGAGGGAGCACTAGGTGCGCTCCCGCAGCCGGCTGGGCCGGGTGTGAAGGTGCCCCAGGCGCCACGGGCCGGTGCCAGGYGATTCCGCCGCAGGAGAAACTGCCGGGCGATGGGAGAGGCTCCGCGTGYGGGTCACGCCGAGCGGCGCTTCTTCCCACCGGCACCGTCTTTGCTCAGTAAATTCCATGCACGGAGAACASCAACTAAGGAAGAGCTCACAAAGCCACAGGGGCTTCACACAATCCAGTTAACTGCAGGAGGTGTAGAGGTGATGGATGTATCTACTGCTCAGAAAGTATAGAGGAAATAAAGTAACTCTCAAGTGTCATGTATTATGTAAGAACTTGTAGGACTGAACCTTGAAGCGGCCAGCTCAGTCTCGTATTTCTCCAGAATGTTTTATTTTTCACCACTACTTTCAGTGAGGCATTTTCTGGACATCCACAGGAGAAATACAGAGACCAGTTTCAAATGGGATCCTATGTTACAGTATGGGCTGCACCGTATTCTTACGCTGGTTTCTCTAGTCCCCACCTACTCAGGTGACTTCTTATTGTGCAAAATGACCATCAAAAGGATATAGAGATACTTCCCTTGCTGTATGTTTGACAAGTTCCATATCTCGTCATTTAGAAAAGAGACTGTGGCTCCTTTAAGGAACAGGGAATGGCTGTCTGGAGGATCCAGCTTCAATAAAATAAAGAATATTATTATTATTTTTACAAAAATTAAAGCTATGTAGTTATTTTATATTTAATGGTTTTAAAACATTAAAGAAAAAAGAAAAAAAGCCACCCTTGCTCAATCTCAGAACTTGGCAAGCCTGCAATACTTACAATTTTAAATGCTATTTTTATGTCTAATCAGTTTAATATTCTGAGCCAAACAAAGTAGATGCTGTAAAACTTGTTGCCATAGCCAAGCCATTAAAGCAACTTTCTATCCACCTGCTTCCTGTACAGGGCAGTCCCAAAACCACAGCAGGGAATAAGCGCATCTATTAACCCTCTTTGGGATGAACAGCTTCTTGGGCTCTGCGTGTTTCAAGCGAAAACTGATGCTATTTCACTGTGGAGACCTATGAGAGAGTCCCAGAGATGCTTTCACATCCATACCGTGACAGGGACTATCTTGCTGACACACTGTCCTTACCTGGAGATGTTTTTCCGTCGTTATCCAGTGCCCCCCAACAGCCAGCAGCGTGAGGATATCGTGCTTGTGGGGCAGCAACCGCGGTTTCAGTGCCGGCTCATCGTCACTGCTGTATAATCTCACTGAGGAACAGAACAGAAAATAAAATCACTGCTCYGACTGAAATGTCTCACTCGTTTCTTTATTGAAGAATGTGGATCTTGGGTTCTCTACAGGCTTATTTTAAGATAAAAATGAGTTGCAAAATAAGTAATAATGAATAAAAATGAAGATGTCTCTAGAGCATCAATATAGTTAAATTATGCTGCAAGCTTCATGAAAATACCTGGGAAAGTAGAATATTTAGGCAATTTAATATATTTTTTTCTCTTACCACATTTTCCGTGGAACTAAGAAGTTTGTTTGTTCAGCTGAAAACTGTAACTAGACTTGCCAGCTCCCCCAGGTGTTTCAGAGTACTCTACACTGACAGGACTGGCAACCTGCCTCTGTTCCTTCTATTAGCCAGGGCAGCCTAACCAGCGATGTCACAGCCCTACTCCTTCAACGGCTTCCTTCCCAAGGGCAAAAGAGGCCAAATTCCAGTGAATTTGGGAGCCCGTCACGAAGGGCAGGTYGTGGGCAGCTACGCACCTCCCGCGTCCAGGGCAATGTCCACGCCGAGGCCGCCCGTCTCTTCCAAGCAGCTTTCCGCCACGTCCGTCTTTCCACTGGAGACATCGATCACTCGAGCTGGACGGGGCAGCGGGTTGGGGAAGTTGCAGGAAAAACGCAGAGTTTAGACGGAGAGCGGGAACGGCCGCTGGTTTTTAAAAGCGCCACGAGCAAGCGTGCAGCTGAGCTACAGCACTTTGCAGTACTTCTTATTTTCCAATACACAATCAGAAATATGCGCTAGCTTAACCCAGGAGTAAAGCCCACAATCCTGCTATGACCAAAAATATGTGTATTCCATTTTTTTAGAACACGGTCTTTCGTTGTCACAGGAAGGCTGTGAGATAGAGTGAATCCCAAGGCGTGYACCACTAAGGAGCCACGAACTTGTCTAACTCCAGCAAGTCCCTCCATCTTACAATACTCATCTCCTCTGTAAATTAATTGTTAGTAACCATTTCCTAGATCAAATGATCAGCATAGATTATTATATAATTTCTGCACATTGTTTTACCCTCCAAATTCCTCAGTGGTATTAAATAAATATTTAAACAGATTTTTTTTTTTTTTTTTTTTTTTTACACTTTTTTCCCTGAAGCAAAACCCAGCAATATTTTCTTCCCGTGTACCTGCGATACCCTTCCCTACAGATGACTCCAAAGCTAAACTAAGGCACCGGGGTAGCTAAGGCAGAGAAGTAGCTGCTAAGGGTTTCGGGTTTGTTTCTAAATTATGAGGTTGAGCAAACACTGAGCAACTTAACAGCCAAAACGCTTCCCACTTCAGAATAATTGGGAGAACAGCAAATAATTTTGGAGGAGTTTCCAAAACATAATAGATTGATCTTAAATTTTCAAAGCACACTTACCTACTAAAGGCTGCCGTATACCTTMTTCCATTTAAGGAAGGCACACAAAGGGAGAAAGGGAGAGAACAGGTTAAAAAAACCCAAGATACTGGTCATTGGAAAAATAACAATATTAAGAAAACCTCCGAAGTTGGTTTTTTCTTGTCAAATAGGTGATGGCAGCTCCAGCTTGAGCCTCGCAAAGGAACCTGCTCCCGTGTGCAGTCGCAACAGCCCTTCCAGTTCCCAAGTCAGGCTGCCAGTATTTGCCACTAACGTCAAATTATCCACGTAAAGAGAACTTAGGCCCTAAAAATTTAATAATATAAATGCATGTGACTACACAAAAAAACTGTAACTTCCTTTTCCTACTAGCTTCTTCAGCTCAGGAGTTAAAAGTATGTTCTCAACAAGGCCTTTTGACATGGTATAAATGTAACTTCTGCAAATAACACTTCTTGAGAACAATTTTGACGGAATAACTTCAAAAAGTGACTAGTCAAATGAAAGGGGATAATTTAATCAGTTTGACCATKCCCTTATATCCGTTCAGCCCAAACTTACAATTTTATTAGTCAAATC